GAGCCATTATTGGAGGGATTTAAGCAATGGATATGATCAGATTTATATTTTAAAAAGATCACTCTTCTGAAGCAATATTAGACTGAAGTGGGGCAAAGGTAGAAGAAGCAGGGAGATCCGTTAAGAGGCTACTCCAGTAATTCAAGCAAAAGATGAGTATGACTTAGACCAGGAGGCAATGGTAAGTAGTAGTAGGAGTCTATAAATTTTTTAAATGTTATTTTTAAATAATTTAAAATTTAAAATTACAGTTTATTACAGAGACTTCTTGTGTACCTTTCACCCAGATTCCTCAGTAATGTTTTACCACATTTACTTTATCTTTTATTGCTCTCTCTATACTACACGTACACATACACACACACACACATTTTCTGAAGTATTTGAAAGTATGATACAGACATGATGCTGTATTTAGTACTCAGTGTCCATTTTCTAAAAACAAAGATATTCTCCTTATATAGTTAACAAGTTTGTTCTGCCATAACAAAATACCACAAATTGTGTGGCTTCAACAACAGAAATCAATTATCTTACATTTTTGGAGGTTGGAAAGCTCTAGATCAAGATCCAGTCCCAAGATCAAGGTTCAGTTTCTGGTGAAAGTTCTCTTCCTGTCTTATAGATGGCCTCCTTCCTTCTGTGTCCTCAGGTGGTGGAAGGGAGGGTTTGAAAGGGTGGAGAGAGAGATATCTCTGGTGTCTTTTCTTATAAGGACACTCTATTTTCTTATAAGGCTCCCCATCCCTATAACCTCATTGAACCTTAATTAGGTCCTTATAGGCCCTGTCTCCAAATATAGTCACATGGGGTTAGGCCTTCAACATAGAAATTTAGGGGAGACAAATTCAGTACATTGCCAAGCTCGTTGTGGAACATCTGTACAGCCACCAAAATCAGGAAATGAATATTGGTATAATACTACCATCAAATCCACAGACCCTAGCTAAATTTACTAGTAATCCAGTAATGGTTTTCAAGAGGTCCAGGGTCACACGTTGCAATTAGTTGTCATGTCTCCTTAGTGTTCTTCAGTCTGAAATACACATGTAAATATGCACACAGTCTATCCTTATCTTTCATGATCTTGACATTTTTTAAGAATATGGACCAGTAATTTGCAAAATAACCATAAATGTGTGTGTGTCTGATGTTTCCTTATTATTAAATTCAGGTTATGCAGCTTTGAGCAAAAATACCGTGGAAGTGCTACTGTGTTCTTAATGTATTGTATTTGGAGGAATGTAATGTGAATTTGCCCCATTACCAGTGATATTAACTTTTACCACCTGGGTAAGGATGGCTTTTTACCAGGTTTCTGCACTGTAAAGTGAGTGAGTATTTCGTGGGGAAGGAATGTGAGATTATAAGTAACCTGCTTGGAACTATACTTTTCTCTTACTGGCTTTAGCATCCATTGATGGTTGCTGCTTGAGTCAGTTCTTACTCTGGTGGTTGCCAAGTGTTTTTTAATTCCATTGTTCCTTACCCATTTATCGGCATTTGATTATAAGGCAGGTTTTCCCCTTCCCATCCTTATTTATTTAATTATATCAGTATGTATTCATGGATTACTATTTTATTCAGCAGATTATAATCCTTCACTGTTAACTTAACTTGACACTTGTCTGTTCCGTAGATTTGGCCAGTTGGAACTCTTTGAAGGTAGTGCCTGTGTCCTTTTGACATTATTCTTTGAGCAGTTTTTTATTTTCTGATACAACGTGCTCCAAGCTCTTGTACTTTATTTCCTGACCTGGAGTCAGCCATTTCTCCAAGAAGTTGTGGTTCCTTTTAGAGACTAATATCTAGATATTAAATACTGAAATATTATTGCTTCTAAAAAGCCTTTTCAATGGAGAGATTTAGAAAGTAGTACATACACATACATGCATGCACATTCATTCACTGTATGTTTTCTATATATGAGTTCATACCAAGATCATTCTGTAATTACTGTTCTTTTTCAGTTTATAATTTATTTCCATTTCAGTATATTTATATTTTATCTAATCCTAGACCACATTCGGTTTTCTTCAATGTCATTTATAACTGGTTAGTCCAAATCTGTACCCAATTCAGGAACCCAGGTTAGTTACATCAGATTGCTTTGTCCCTTGAGTCTCTTAATCTCTCCACTGCAATTTATGCCAGTGATTCATTGATGAGGTTAGGCCATTCATCCTGCAGAATATCTCACCTTCTAGATTTTGTTTGGTTGCTTTTTTGTAGTATTCTTAGCTCTTTTTATTATTTCTCACAATAAAATTATTTGCTGTGGATGAGTAGAAACCAAGACTATCCAAGATGGGCTGTCCTAGAAAAGGAAGATTCTGAGAGAGCAAGTTGTCTGGGAATTGCAGTTTTTTAAAGATGGAATTTTGAATTTGAATAAGAGATGAGATTGGGAGAGAAGGTAGCATCTAGATCATTAGTGGAGACTGTGTTTGGGCATTTTCCAGTAAGCAGTTGTAAATACGAGAAAGAATTGGATAATGTTTGTATGTTAAAAGATTAATTAAGCAATTTAGATAGTGAATTTGAGGAGACCAAGTCCAGAGGCCAGATAACTTACTTAGCAGGTGATTGCAGTAGTAGTCCAGGTTAAAGGTGATGGAACCCAGCAAAGAGCAGTAGTAGGAAGAGAAGGAGAAGGGATACATTTGACAAATACTATTGGAGACAAAATTGGCTAGATTTGGAGATGTATCAAATGGAGAGTGAGGGCCAGATAGGGAGTAGCTGGTATTCAAAAAAGATTGCTAAAATTCTGGCTAAATACAAAAGCAGTAACAGATAGAAGAGCAGAAAGATTATTAATAAAATATTGAAAAATCAAGCTCAGGTTGCCTTTGAGACTTAGAAATGGATGTGTGCAGTGACTGGTAAAAGGAAATCAGGCTTGATACCTATGGATACGGGAGACATTGATACATAGGTGGCAGTAGTAAAATATACAGAAGGGGATGATTATGCCAATAGCATTCCGTTTTTGTGTGCTAAGCACTGTCCTAAATGCTTCACGTTTGTTGTTTCATTTAATTCTTATAACAACCCTGTGAAGTTATCATTTTACAAAGAAAAAGAGTGACATATAGAAGAGTTAAGTAATGTGTAAGACCCCAAAGCTAATAAGAGACAGAACCAGGAATGGAAAAGGCTATCTGACTTAAAACCTGAAATCTTAAAATACTGTGATATGGGTGAATAGAGAAGAGTGCTCAGGAGAGAACCCTGGGGATCATCAGCATTTAAAGGATGAGGATCAATGTCATATCTGCCTGCCTATACATGTGTATGTGTGTATGGGTGTAGGAGGAACCAGAGGGGTAGGAGAATGCTTATGACAGAATCCAAAGGAGTTACTCTAACAGATTATTCTTTATGCCAAAGCCACAAAGAAAAAACATTTTAGGAAATCTCCATTGGTTTTAATAAGTTGGAATTTATTGATACCCTTGGTAATTGCTGTTTGAGTGATGGCAACATAAATGAGATGATTTATATAAAGCCCTTAGAACAGTAGATTGCATATTTTAAAGACAGAGGAAAAAGTAGCTCCCCTGATTATGGAGTTAAAAGTTAAAGTGGAGAACAGTGAGTATATAAAACTGTCAGATTTCTGAATCCGAAAGATAATAACTGACTCCAGTAAATGGATTTGGATGGACTTAAATATGAATACTTTTTTTTTTGAGAGAACACAGTTCCCATGTAATGATTTCTGCTTTCTCTGTGAAATAGCATATAAACTTATCTCCTGAGAGTGAGAAGGAATAAGGTAAGATAGGGGGCTTGATAGGGGTAGTAAAAATTTAGAATAGCTCTTAGAGCAAATGAGAGGGAATGCTGATTTAGGACTTGTGAAAGGACTGCAACACTGTAACACTGAAGCCCCAGAAACTGAAAGAGGAGACTGAATTTATTTGGATTTTCAGTCCTCCTGGTGCTGTGATTTTTCTTCAGTAGCACTGAGGAACAGAAATAAAGGTACAGTTAAGGCATTCACTTAGACTGATCTGTTGAATGTACATGATAGAAGGGCTAAATTAGTAGGGAGGAGGAAAATAAAATGGTTTTGATAAAGGAGTGGTTTAATGGATCAAAGACTCTACAATGGAGTGCTGGAATGGACTACAGAATTAGTAAAAATAAAGGATTGGGATCTTAATGGAATTGAACAACAAATAAATGGTAGTGGGAAGTTGTGAGAAAGGGGGACTTTAAAATTTATAAAGGAGTGGTTCTTGGAGGTCACAATTTAAGATTAAGAAATCAAGAGACTAGAAAACATGATGGATCATCCATATGGACATTAGAATTGTCCAGGATAATAATGAAACTTAAGGTGGTGTTCAAGGTTTGAGATAGTAAATTGATTGGGCCTTACCATGGGAATTTGAAAAAGTTGACCTAGATGTATTTATATGATCAAATTGCCTATTTCCCAGGACATTCACCTAGTGCTGAGAGTAGCAGCAGAGCCTCTCTTCCAGGAGATGGGAGAATTTAGGTCTGCCTGGGTGGTATCTGGACTGGTTAATGAAAAGAGTTTATCTGTAACAATCATAATGTAGGGGAGGTTAAGCAATTGGCCTAAGGTCACATTCTAATGAAATTCTAAAGCTCATGCTCTTTTCACCAACACTAGTGTGTTTGCAACAAGTTGAGCTGCTTTCAGCTCAGTTTTTTATCTTCCCAAATATTTAGGAGAACAGTTTTATTTTAGCTTCTCCAGGGTTAATAATATTTTAGTGGCAAACATCTACAAAGTGTAGTAAAAATCTGCTTGGTGAATACCTTGAACATAAACTTAACTTAAAGCTTGTCAAGGTTTTTAAGCAGTAGGTTCAGACATTTGATCGATTAGTTAATTTGTCTGTCTATCCATCCATTCATCCGTGTAAGAGCAGTTACACAGTTTGAGAACACTGTTTAGAGTAAGTTGAATAAGTATAAATTGACTTAATTTCTATTTTATTGTCTTTTGTCATCTCTAGCTGCCTATCCCCACCGTTTGAATCTCTTTTACCTTGCCAATGATGTCATCCAGAACTGTAAAAGGAAAAACGCAATCATATTCCGTGAATCATTTGCTGATGTACTTCCTGAAGCAGCTGCTCTAGTGAAGTAAGTAAATTCTTACTGCTCTTCAGGATATAAAGCTTAGAAAATGTAGAGTTTTCATTTCCCTTCTTAGCTTTTAGTAAGGACTGTTGCATATGCTTGAAGATCCAAGCATATTTTGTCTAAATTGTTCATTGTAACATTCCTGCTAATACAGTTTTCTTTTAAAAGCTCTTTCTTTATTTATTTACTCTGCCTCTTCTCTCTATACTTGGCCATATAAATCTCCTAGTCATACTCTTTGGATATGCTTCTTTCCAACTACGTCTTCTATTTTTGTGTTTTTTACACATTTCCTTTCTTCTTTCAGTCTTCCTGAAATCTTGCCCCCCTCCATGAAATATGTGTAATTAAATAGAAATGGGAATGCTTACTCCCAATTCCATATTGACTTACTTCATTCTTAGCAAAATTATATACAGCATTTCACAAAGTGCTTCCCAAACACTTGTTTTTGATACCTTATTTTTTCCCTGTACTAAAAGTGTTTTCTTTGTGTTTCATCCATATTTGTGAGTCGTTTGTTTGGAGCAAAAGACACACACAAACACACACACAGAGAATAAACAATCATATGGAACAATCAAAATAGCTATTTCCTCAAATTACATATTTACTAGCATAATATTATATACTTATAAAAACATGAATGTTATGTATCATTGATCCGTTTGTTAAGAATTAACACATAACTGAATGATCCTATTCCTTTCTTTGCATTGTTAACTTGAGATATCTACTTCGGTATAACAAAAGATTAAAATATGGTCCTACTTGAATATACTAAGTAATAAAGATTTATACACATGTCATAAATACATAAAATAATAGTAGCACCTAACATTTTTTTTAAATTAAGGTATCATTGATATACAATCTTATGCTCAGGTTTCAAATGAGCAACATTGTGGTTACTATATTCCCCCTATTATCAAGTCCCCACCACATACCCCATTACAGTCACTGTCCATCAGCACATCAGCATAGTAAGATGCTATAGAGTCACTACTTGTCTTCTCTCTGCTATACTTCCTTCCCCGTGCCCCCCCTATATTATGTGTGCTAATAATCATAATGCCCCTTGATCCCCTTATCCCTCCCTCCCCACCCATCCTCCCCAGTCCCTTTCCCTTTGATAACTGTTAGTCCATTCTTGGGATCTGTGAGTTTGCTGCAGTTTTGTTCCTTCTGTTTTTCCTTTGTTGTTATACTGCACAGATGAGCGAAATCATTTGGTACTTGTCTTTCTCTGCCTGGCTTATTTCACTGAGCATAATACCCTCCAGCTCCATCCATGTTGTTGCAAATGGTAGGATTTGTTTTCTTCTTATGGCTGAATAATATTCCATTGTGTATATGTACCGCCTCTTCTTTATCCATTCATCTACTGATGGACACTTAAGTTGCTTCCATGTCTTGGCTGCTGTAAATAGTAAGAGCACCTAACATTTATTGAACACTCATACTTAACCAGATACTATACAAAGTGCTTTGTGTGCTTTAAGTCATTTAATCCTGAGAACAACTTTATAAAGTGGCTGCTGCTATTATCCCTATTTTGAGAATGGGGAAACTGTGACTTATAGACATGAAGTAGCTGGCCTAAGCTCTCACAGCTGTGGGGAAAGTGGTTGTGTGGATGTGCAGGATTCCTACCCAAGCCTGTCTAGACCCCAAAGCCCATGTTCTTTGCCTTTTAACCATTAATCTGTGTTTCACCTTTACATATATAAACTCCAGTATAATTTTGAGTAAGAAAAACAGTATGCTGGATAATGTCCACTACTGTAATATCACTATATAGTTTTTTTAAAACTTAACCTAGTGTTTCCTAAACTTAGATTTTGTGAACTAGTTTGTGAATTAGTATGAGGTTGTCAGCTTTTATTTTACTATATAAAGATATATTTTTTTTTTGAGAGGGCATCTCTCATATTTATTGATCAAATGGTTGTTAACAACAATAAAATTCAGTATAGGGGGGTCAACGCTCAATGTACAATCATTAATCCATCTCAAGCCTAATTCTCGTCAGTCTCCAATCTTCTGAAGCATAACGAACAAGTTCTTACATGGTGAACGAATTCTTACATAGTGAATAAATTCTTACATGGTGAACAGTACAAGGGCATTCATCACAGAAACTTTCGGTTTTGATCATGCAATATGACCTATAAACAATCAGGTCAAATATGAATATTCGTTTGATTTTTGTACTTGATTTATATGTTGATCCCACATTTCTCCTATTATTATTATTATTTTTATTTTTAATAAAATGCTGAAGTGGTAGGTAGATGCAAGATAAAGGTAGAAAACATAGTTTAGTGCTGTAAGAAGGCAAATGTAGATGATCAGATGATCAGGTGTGTGCCTATGGACTAAGTATTAATCCAGGCTAGACAAGGGCAGCAAGACATCCACGGATGCAGAAGATTTCTCTCAAAGCAGGGGGGGTGAGGTTCTGAGCCTCACCTCTGTTGATCCCCAAATTCTCACCTGATGGCCCCCCTGCGACTGTGCCTGTCTTAGGTTGTTCCTCCCTTGAGGAATCTTACCCGTCTCTGGCTAACCAGTCATCTTCCGGGGCCATACAGGGAAATGTAAAGTTGGTAAGTGAGAGAGAAGCCATATTGTTTGCAAAGGTTAGCTTTTTACTTCTTTGCAGATTTATGCCTTGTGGCTTCTATGCCCAGCACTTGTCTCGAGGTATAAAGATATTTTTTAAACAACTACTTTGTATTACTATTACTATTTGACAGAAAAAGGTGTGAAGGACCTAATCTGAGAATAAAGTATTGTCTTTTAGATTAAAATTTTAAGCCCTGAAAATGTTCTTAACTCTATGAACAGTATCTTCAGAGAAGCTATAGTAAATATCAGACTTTATGGTGAAAGAATGAAAGCCTTCCAAGACAGGGATGCCATCTACCATCATTACTATTCATCATTATGCTGGAGATCCATTAATTTCTACAAAAGTAAATAAATAAATAAACAAGAATGCATTTAGAAGAGACTGCATTGTTGTTATTTGCAGATAGGATTACCTACTTCCGGGTAAACAACCTTTTCCTATAAAGTGCCACATGTTAAGTATTTTTGGGCCATAGGATCTCTGTAGCCACTACTCAACTCTGCCATTATAGCATAACACAGCCATAGACAATGCATAAACAAATGGGTGTGGCTGTGTTCCAATAAAACTTTATTTACAAAAACAGGCAGCAGGTCAGATCTATCCTGAGCTCCTAGTCTGGCTTATGTAGAATCAACTAATTAGAAAGTTCAGGTTAAATAATCAGATTCAAGTTCAACATAGAAAAACAGTAGTTTTCCCATGTATGCTAGGAGTAATCAATTTGAAAATGTAATTAGGAAAAAAAGATTCCTTTTGTAACAAATGTACTGCCCCCCAAAATAAAAGAAAACCCACCCAAGAATAAATGTAATAAGAAGCAGATAAGGCTTTTTATAAACAAGATTTTAAAACATCACTAAGGGATATTAAAGAAGACCTGGAATGATGAAGATATATAGATATAGATAATACACGCAACACATATATATGTACATCCATACACAAATACCATTTGAAAAGAAAGATTTGGTATTGTTAAAAAAAAAAAAAAGATTCTTTCCCAATATGTAATCTGAAAATTCAGTGTAAGCCCAGTCAAAATCTCAGTAGGGTTTAAAGTAGAAGGATAAATATGCAAAGTAATTTTTTGAAAGAACAGTAAGGCTAGAGTTCCCCTATCAGTTATATATATAGAAGCAGAAAGAGAAGACTCAAATCAGTGAAACAATATATTCTTGCTTACAAAGAAATTAATTACAAAGTGTATGGTAAATGAGAGGATTTAAGATAAGAGCTTCCATATTTCTTAAAACAGCCCCATCCTAGCCACCACTATCCCTTTTTAAATTTCTATTTACAGTTATATTTTAAATACATTTCTAACCTTTTGTGAATTCTTTTCTCTTAGTTTAAAGCAATAAAGGGACAAATGTGTAGAAGTTTCAGAAGGGTAACATGGATGAGGAGGTGGGTTGAATGTGAGGAAAAACCTTTCTAAAAGGAGCAGCAGCTACTTAGCCCTAGTGTATGGCCATAAGGAAATATGAGGCCAGTGTTAACACATGCTGCCAGACCTTCCAAAGAGTTTTCTCTTTTAACCTAAGTCAGAATCTGGATTTTTTTTTTGATATCGTTAATGTACAATTACTTGAACAACATTATGGTTACTAGACTCCCCCTATTATCAAGTCCCCCCTACACCCCATTACAGTCACTGTCCATCAGCGTAGAAGATGCTAAAAATCACAGAATCTAGATTTTTATAAGAAGTCTCCCAGTTTTTTTAAATGCGTGAAGCTGAATCACATTTAAAAAAAAACATTGCTATCAGTGAGACTTTAATTTAAAAATATAGTAATTTAATTACTATAGACTTTAATTAAAAAATATAGCCAAACAAAATACATCTGATGACTAAATTTGAGCCAAAGACGACCTAGAGACCTCTGCATTAAGGCATTGATTTTATTCCTTTAATCCCTCTAAGGAGTTATTTAATTTCACTTGATTAAGAGTCGCTATGGAATACACTTAATGCCATATGTTAAGAGAGATGACAGAAGAGAGAAATCAGTACTTTCAGATGGGTTGGGAAACTTTTTCTTTCCAAACAATTATCCAACAGCTCCTTTCAATTATTAAATTTCAGTTTATTCTTTTCCTCCTTGGCTTGAAATTCCATAGGCTGAGAACTTGGAGACTAGTTTTTATTGTAATGAGAATATGTGTGTGAGAGGAGGTGCATAAATGAAAGTAAACCAATCTTATTTATTTGCCGTTTGTATCCTAGAGATCAGTTCATCTGAATGTGTATATCATTGTGAGAACAGAATAGTTGAAATTTCAGTTTGAAGCACAGGTAAAGTGTCTTCATGAATGTCAGAGTTACTGCTTGGAAAACTCTGAATTAACTCTGCTACCA